TATAAGCCACATGTAGTCATCCAGGTTGGTCGTCACGGACTCCAGCGCAGAGCGATATGTTAGAAACCATCGCCAATCGCATCGATTGGATGACAGCTCTAGGTGTCTGGGCCAATATATCGGGCCATTCCTCCCGCGTAGGGGGCACAAGGTCTTCCTCTCGGAAGACGATACCATTGAATTTTGAATGGTACCGCGCCGATTCCCCTATGTCGAACACAGGTCTGCAGCGATTTGGCAAAGAAGTATAGAGATCGAGCCGTAGTGTACGCCGTAGGTACGTGCGGATGAAACACGGGAAGGTGTGCTAGACCAGCGATCGCAGCATCAAGAGAAGTGATAACACCACCCAGCTTTGCTTCGATCTCCCCCCTGTTCCCGTACTCCGGCACCCATCGTGCGTCCAGAGCTGATACCGCATTCCCGGTCCGGCGCTCCATGAGACAGGGAGAGAGTAGTCCGGCCCGCATTTCCCGCATCAATAAACTGTTAGCATCGGCCTTTCTTCGTCCTTAGACCAATCTCCCCTCGACCGCACCATATGTCATATCGCCTGATGGGAAGAATGGAGCGGGCCGAACGTTATCGGTAGTGATGTGCGGATCGAGCAGATTAGCGAGACCATCATCGGCAACATCGCGAACGGCCTGCGCATCATCGTTGCTTGCCGCGAGCTCTTGAACATGAGCTCTCATCTGTTCGGCGTGGACTTTTCTTACCTCTTTCGGATCAAGATAAGTCGGCCTGTGTGCCGATCCAGCACCAGCCTCTGCAGTCGGGGGCCTAGGGGTTTCCCCTTCCACTGCCCCGTAATCGCTCTCTCGCGTTTCCTGAATCGGCGGAAGCGATCCGCCAGCAGGTTATAATCCGTCTGGCGATGGTCTGGTCCTTGAGTCCCGTCTTCTGCGGCACGGCCGGATCGAAGTTGACATCCTTGCGCAGAGTCTCATCTTCCGTGCCACCGTACGTGTCTTGAAGCTTGCCCTGCAGGAGGAGCTCGTCGCTGTTGTCCGTGTACAACTCCGCGGGGGCCTGCATCCATGTTTTGTCTGCTTCTAGCCCTGCAAGGACGTTGCCGAAACCTTCAAGCATTTCCAGGCAGGTGAAGGCACGCTGGACATGGTCTCTGGTGACTGACAGGTCCATCGGCACGCTGGTGGAGCTGGTGCTGGCGGGCAACCACAGAAGATCCCAGAGGCATATGCAAGCGGAGAGTTGCGCCAGCTTCCAGGGACTGGTCCCCTTGGCGGCCGCAGCTGCGATGTCCTTATTCTGACGAGCAGCCACCACTTGGATCTGGTAGAAAGTGGCGTAGGACAGAAAAAGCTCCTGCTTAGGGAGAGGGGGAGGGGAGGGAAGACTTCCTTATAATAGGGGGGAAGGCGAAGGGATTAAGTTCGAATAACTACTGTGTGCCTGGGCAGCGTCATCGTGGAAACCGATGGGTCGATGGCTCTGTCGGAAGTGACGCACGAACCGATCTGCTGCGTCGTAAACGCTGAGCTCGGCAGGAATATCAAAGTCGCGATCTCCGAGGCACCACTGCGCATCCCAGCCATGATCTCGCCGAGTCAGGCGAATGGCAGTCTCGACGCCGTCTGGGAGCGTGTACTGCCACCCGCGCTCGTCAGGAAAGTAGAGCACGTCCGACGGCGCATCCTGTGACTCCATGAGCTCGTCCTGGAAGTAGACCTGTGCTGCTTGTGGAGAAGTCAGGTGCTGTTCCAGGCCTAAAGCTGTCTGCACCAAGCGGGGAAGCAAGCACCACTTCTGCTTGGATGCCGCGCAGCAGCCCGCAACGCGAGCGTGTGGCTGGACAGGTTCGCCAGAGACTAAGAACATTCTCATTCTTGTCGCGCATCCGTGGTCTCCACGGATGCCGCGGGCCATCTCGACAGCAACCGCACTGTGAATGTTGCCTACGACGGATGTGCTGACGGCAGGGGCACCCTTTCCGCCATGAACAGCCATGGTCTTCGTTTCGAAGGTGCTCTGGCCCGTCTGCATAAGTCTATTGGCCCAGCCGGCAGCTGGTGTCTGCCCCTGTGTCTCGGCATGAGACTTCCTTGCTCCTGGCGCATCTAACAATGCTAAGTCTTGAAGGAAATCATATGCCTCGTCGAACACAAGGGCTTGAGAGAACCATAAGCGACCTGGAAGGCCCCTCGCCGCCAACACTCGCAACTCTTGGTCATGCACATGCCCATGAGATCGAGCCTGATCCGCGTGGACAGAACACAGCTTGTTGGGCGCTGTGTCTCGCACGGCACGCACCTGGTGGAAGTCACCGGCACACCGCTGCTTACAGCGTTCGAGTGTACCACCGAGGTACGCTACTGACCAGATCTGCAAGGGCTCCTCCAGGCAGTTGTCTGCGCCAGAACCTCGTTGTACTCGGTGCTTGCCTCTGCCGGCTTCAGATTGAAGCGTGTCTCCATCCTGGTCGCAGTCGGTCTCTTCACTTGCAGCGGCTTTGGCGGACGAAGCTGCATATGCTTGCTTGGTTTTCAAGACAGCACCCCACACTTCCTCGGTCATTGCGTCAGCCTTGCTGCACAAGCTCTCCATCAACGCTGTAAGCTAGCTCTTCCTGGTTTGTGAGTAGTTGACATTCAGAACCCAGATAGCGATGGGCATCGGACTACCCCAGACATTGATAGAGGCACCGTTCGACAAGATCCCAAGGGCGGCCAGCAAGTACATGAAAATCGGCACTGGGGGATGATTCAATCGTGCGCTCAAGGCGGACACTGCCTGGAAGCCTACGTGTCCTGCGATGGAGCCACCGTGAAGGTCCCACTGCTCTTTCAACCAGCTCCACCCACGATGCATGGTGCACTGGTACTGCGGCGGCTGTGGCACTGGCATGCTGGCATGCGGCAACAGACCCGGCTACGTTCGCTTGGACGGCGCGGCTAACCGGCGCAGGTAGTACGCTTTGCACAAGTCATGCCACATGTCCGATGAGCAACAGCAGAAAAGGCAAGAAGCTGCAAGTGCGCCAGTTGCATGAACTGTCCCGACACTAGATGCTGTCGGGGCACACGAAAGGAAAAGGAGGCACCACACCATCTTCTGCGCGTTCAACAGGAAGCCGGAGAGGGAGTTGGTCGCCGCTCTGCAATGCCCGTCCGGACACTGTGGAGAGATGAAACTCAAGCATTGGGCTGTTTTATGTCAGTAAACTCCTCAACAGCTTTAGTGCCCACTTGTATCGTTATATGTACACACCTACGCATATCTATATATCTACATATATACGTACATACAT